ATTTCTGTCAGTCCACAGAGCTGAAGTTTACATTCAACTATGCCTCGGAGAAAGCTGTCTCTAGGGAGGACACTATATCCATGCACAGGATCCTATTCCAGTCTTTAGGCCCGGCCAAGGGTATGTTACAGAAAACTTAACAGTACAAAATTATCAAATATAACACAAATAACAGAATGTTGCTTATTGTTTCTGTTATTGCACAGAGTGTAAACTACCTGAAGAGATAATGTGGAGTCTGCTCAACAAGAATAGTCTATTATCATCTTAATACAGCATAACAAATCACAGATATAGACCATGAAAAATGGCAAAACAGCAAAAGTGAATCTGCAGATAAAGGGCTAACAGCATTGAGAAAGAGGAAACAAGAAGGCTTGATATTGAGAGTGTGTGAGTATGGGCCAGGCCTACAAACTATACACCTTGGCAAGTCCCCACTTAAAGAAGCTGTATGCTCAGATTTTGCTCCATGAGGCACCCAATCCAACAGTTTAACTGTCCATGCATTAATCCATAATGCAAATTCTTGATAGCTTCAAGTTCAGTAATAAAACAAATAAACAAATAAAAAAGTAAATGAAGAAAATCCAAATGAATTGAAATATATGTATACATATTAATATAGTTTGGAAATTTCAACTCTTCATACATTGAAAACCTCTTAATAACTTACTTTTGATCATCTCTAAACAAATAGGAATGAGTCCGTGCTCCTCTACCAAGAGCCTCGCATGCTCGTGAGCCTTTCCGTACTCCTGCCTCATATCATCATCGAGTGTAAAAGCACGAATGGCTTTGCTGGTTGTTCTGATAGCTTTGGAGTTTGATTTCTGTCCCTGCAAGAAAGCTACCAGAATGCCAAGAGCACCCGCTGTTACCATATTCTGGCGATTCTGTTCGTGCTTCAAGCAGCATTCGGTTGACCAACGAGCCTGAAAACAGAAATACGATGGTCAAAAAAGGATAGGGTTTTTCTTTCAGTTCTCAGACTGTTTTGTAATCTTTTCCTTTGTCATCATCATAATTATTTCTTTCTTTATCACTTTAACTGAAAAGGAAAAAGCCACCACTGTTTTCTGCTATCAATTAACGTACTTCAGCTTATACTCACCAAATATTCAGGTACTCGTGACTCTTCACTTCGAGTCGTCCAGTCCTTAAGTAGATCCAGTAATAACTCGATTCCCTCCAAGGTCAGTATATCAGAGTTCTGTTCCATTAGAGCAGCCATTGCTTTTACAGATGGGGCTAGGAGAGTGGGGTCACCCTGATATCATAAAGATCAAGTTTAAATATTAGTAATTACTGCACTTCATAATGACTCTAATATCAACACACGTGTCTGTTAAATAAATCAAGAATATTAAAAACAAATAAAAGAATACAGTAAACCAAAAAAGCATCATTACCATTCTACCATTATCTTCAAAATGTATCTTTTGTGATAGTAAAGGAATCACTATAACATCCCCTGTTAGGATCAAAGAGATGTATACGCTATATGGTCCTACCTATTTTTATGTCCAGAATTAACTGTTAAAAACAATTGGTCATCTACACATTCTCATTCTTTATGTACATTTAAAATGCTATGATAAGATTAACAATAAATAAATTGAATAATAAAACTAATAAAATAAAATAAAATAAAAATAATAAAACTAAGAATTGGTAATAATACTATCTAATAACAATGAACCAAAACTGGACCAAAAATAATCACTTTGGCTTTAAGTTCTTATGTTATGAATAACTATTTGAAATACCAATACTAGTATAGGAGTCATTTATAATACATTTCCTAAGAGCATAAAGCAAATAAAAATCAGCTATTTAGAAATAACTAATCTGTATACTATCATAAACATCCTATATAATAATATCATTATCATCATTATATGAAACCCAAACAATCAAAATTATGCATTTGGAATGTCCTTAGTATAAACTGGATTGGGAATATCCAGGTACCTATAACAAATAATATTAACAATAAACAGAAATAACCATGAAGAATCATCAATGACTACTTTTGTTGTCAAAAATATCAATACTGATTCTCTAAGTTAAACATAATTACAATAATAAATCAATAATAGATAAAATATGGTGGTAGTTGGGTAGCAAAAACTCTCACATTAACTAAAGAAATACTGCAGCTGATATAGTCTAAACATAATGCCACAAAGCAAATCATTATTGAAATAATCCAAGTCAATTCTGACCTTCTCATGCACATAATAGTTATAGATACTATATAAGACAATTAACATACCTGGACTTTCTTTATCAATTTGATAAGAACTTCATAAGCATTGTTTTTATTTGCTAAGACGCGATGGGCAACGGACACCTTGCACTCGGTATTAAAAGTTGCAAGAGGCTCTGAAATATCACTTTCAGAAGGAGAGCCATCTGCAGCACACTTGATCTTTTCCAATGCAACAAGAATGTCATGCATAATCTTCTGCTTATCCTCACTTAGATGCATATTCTTTACAATGGTACCTAGATGCACACCCTGTAAACAAGAGATAGTAAAAGCTTTGATCTAACTGATGTACTGTTGGTTTCAAATACAGTATATTTCCAGTATCAAACATTATATTAAAAAATATATATAACCATATAAATAATTTGTAATACAAAACAATATAATCAGTGACTGCTTACCTGAGATTCAAATTCCTTTATAGCATCTTTTATAGCATCTTTTATAGCATCTTTTATAGCATCTTTTATAGCATCTTTTATAGCATCTTTTATAGCATCTTTTATAGCATCTTTTATAGCATCTTTTATAGCATCTTTTATAGCATCTTTTATAGCATCTTTTATAGCATCTTTTATAGCATCTTTTATAGCATCTTTTATAGCATCTTTTATAGCATCTTTTATAGCATCTTTTATAGCATCTTTTATAGCATCTTTTATAGCATCTTTTATAGCATCTTTTATAGCATCTTTTATAGCATCTTTTATAGCATCTTTTATAGCATCTTTTATAGCATCTTTTATAGCATCTTTTATAGCATCTTTTATAGCATCTTTTATAGCATCTTTTATAGCATCTTTTATAGCATCTTTTATAGCATCTTTTATAGCATCTTTTATAGCATCTTTTATAGCATCTTTTATAGCATCTTTTATAGCATCTTTTATAGCATCTTTTATAGCATCTTTTATAGCATCTTTTATAGCATCTTTTATAGCATCTTTTATAGCATCTTTTATAGCATCTTTTATAGCATCTTTTATAGCATCTTTTATAGCATCTTTTATAGCATCTTTTATAGCATCTTTTATAGCATCTTTTATAGCAAATAAAATAAAATAAAAATAATAAAACTAAGAATTGGTAATAATACTATCTAATAACAATGAACCAAAACTGGACCAAAAATAATCACTTTGGCTTTAAGTTCTTATGTTATGAATAACTATTTGAAATACCAATACTAGTATAGGAGTCATTTATAATACATTTCCTAAGAGCATAAAGCAAATAAAAATCAGCTATTTAGAAATAACTAATCTGTATACTATCATAAACATCCTATATAATAATATCATTATCATCATTATATGAAACCCAAACAATCAAAATTATGCATTTGGAATGTCCTTAGTATAAACTGGATTGGGAATATCCAGGTACCTATAACAAATAATATTAACAATAAACAGAAATAACCATGAAGAATCATCAATGACTACTTTTGTTGTCAAAAATATCAATACTGATTCTCTAAGTTAAACATAATTACAATAATAAATCAATAATAGATAAAATATGGTGGTAGTTGGGTAGCAAAAACTCTCACATTAACTAAAGAAATACTGCAGCTGATATAGTCTAAACATAATGCCACAAAGCAAATCATTATTGAAATAATCTAAGTTAATTCTGACCTTCTCATGCACATAATAGTTATAGATACTATATAAGATAATTAACATACCTGGACTTTCTTTATCAATTTGATAAGAACTTCATAAGCATTGTTTTTATTGGCTAAGACGCGATGGGCAACGGACACCTTGCACTCGGTATTAAATGTTGCAAGAGGCTCTGATATATCACTTTCAGAAGGAGAGCCATCTGCAGCACACTTGATCTTTTCCAATGCAACAAGAATGTCATGCATAATCTTCTGCTTATCCTCACTTAGATGCATATTCTTTACAATGGTACCTAGATGCACACCCTGTAAACAAGAGATAGTAAAAGCTTTGATCTAACTGATGTACTGTTGGTTTCAAATACAGTATATTTCCAGTATCAAACATTATATTAAAAAATATATATAACCATATAAATAATTTGTAATACAAAACAATATAATCAGTGACTGCTTACCTGAGATTCAAATTCCTTTATAGCATCTTTTATAGCATCTTCAATATCCATATCAAATTCAGTAACATTTTCCAGAACAACACTGTCAAATGTTTCTTGTGATACAACCTTTGCCATTTTGCCTGGGGGAAAAAATCATAAAGAAATTACAAAGTCCATACACACCTTCAAAATAGAGATTATTATACTAAGGATAATGGTACCAAGGAAAAATCAATATAAATGCTATTCTTAAATGAAAATATCACATGATCTTTCCACTGCACTTAATGGTAACTCTTTACAAATAAAAATGTAGAAATACTACTTGGTACTTAAATTTGGAAATTTAAGCAAAATATCATATCCTATTTTTTACTGGACTTATTTAATAAATGATTAATGGTAGAGACAGACATGCATGATATTCAAATAGATTTTTATATAATAAATGAAATATATATTTAAATGATAATTTCTGCATTACATATATCTAAACATTAATCTATACCTAGTTAGCCTGACATATATTTAAATACAAACTATTTGATACTAAGTACATAATAACTACAAATCCCTTTCAGTGCCTTAACCTTTATAATGGGATTAGTGAAACTTTCATTAATGAGTATATACTGGTTATCTTCCTTACTATTCCCCTCACAGTGTTTTGGATTGAAATAAGTACACACAATGAATCACCATTCATTTTTTTATATAAGAATGATTTCCTTGTATTTTAAATAATTTACCTTACTGTATATAGAAAATATATCTAACATAACCCCCCAAAAAAGGTGGTCACAGAGTACTACAAAATATCAACATATCTGGAGAAAAGAACATATAGCCATCTAAATCCTAATATTTTAAGTGTCCCTAAGGTCATTATAGTACATGCACCAACAAAGAAAGATAAACAAAAAAACAAAGAGGGTGGTGGGTTTAAAAGGCTAAATTTTTGTTACTATTAGCAAACCTCTGGGTATATAGCATCCACAAGAACACAGGATCACCAAATAAAGACTCACTTTGTTTAGATGTCACTCTACTTCCTAGTAACCTTATGTGTCATCCACGCACAAAGACAACTAACGGGATCTGATTTCCACTCTTTTCTCTTCTACTATTTCAAAAAGAAGACTGTTTTCGCTTGGAATCGGCGATGGTTTAGGTGGCTCGTCATCAAAATTGAAAGACTAACCAAAATAAATAAGACTTCTGATAAACTGTTGTTATTTATCGACTTAAAATGACTCATCCTTAAAACCTCACCTCCTCTGACCGTCAAGCCGTAGTTGTTACTGTAACTCTACCGTCGCGTTTGGGCTAATAAGGAAGGTGTGCGTCGATGAAGCGATAATTTTATTCCGATCAATACTTTCACCCCCAATTTTACCAGATATTCGTCTCGGTTGAGCGGCCGAGGGGACGGAGGAGAGCAGAAGGGAAAGCTCGGGCGGCGGTGACTAAATTCGGAGGGCGACGCGTCCGTTCGTCGTGGCCTGTAAAGGTGTTTGAAAAGAGCCTCTTTGCCGTTGTGGAGGGGAAAATATGAACACTAAACAAGACTAGATATTATTTCATTTGTTAAGGATTCACGATATTGCCTTTATTTACATTTGTGGGTATCTTAAGTTACTCATCCAATGGTTCACCAAACGTTTCGAACGCAGCTTTATGCAAATCGGAGTTCTCCCTCGGATGTAAACACCGCTCGTTCACATCCCGATCACCGAACTTGAACCATAACAAAAAATGCATCATAATGAGCTGCAGCCGTTACTCCCCTAATTAGTACCAATCGATAATAACCGTTATCCCTCTCCTTGAACAATATTAGATTCTTTTTCAAGCATTAGGGACGTATATAACAAAGATTACACTGGAGCTCCTTGATCTCGCAGAAGATGTGAACGAAGACGCATTGTTGTGTTCTTGAGTCCAGCGAAAACACGGAGGCCGAGACGCGCGAGCATGGCGGACGAGGAATTTGACGGAGATGAGTAAGATTCGGGAGCTTTTTGTATTTTGGAGATTTTATCGTGTTGTTAGGAAGTGGTGTGTACAGTGTAGGTGAGGCGCGGGTGTGTTACAAAGGTGCTTTTAGCGTAAATTCACACGGAAGTTATGGTGACGCAACATCGTAGGTAGACTCTGAGGTATATTTAAATATATTTGATTGTATTGCTAGGGAAGCTGAAATGCTTATGGTGAGTTACCTAGCATCTATAACAGATATTATAGGCGGTACACAGATTTGTATAATATTTTTTAAAAAATGAGAGTCGTTTAGCCTCGCATGTATGTGCGTCGGCTTTTATTTTGTTCGAGGTTTACTCTTTCGTATACAGAGGTAAGCAAAGGGAACGAAATTGAAGTTGGTAGAAAGCTGTAATTGTTCAAACCCTCACTTTTATTAAGATTTTGCAATAAGACGCACTTACCAAAGACAAAATACTTAACTGCTTATGACAAATTTGGAAAAACATGGTTTCCAAGAGCGGCATACAAAGATAGAGGGAAGTGGACACTGCCTTCTTATAAAGCATAAAAAATAGAATGATAAACAACTTAGGTACAGCTGTAGCAACCTCATGTTTACATTGAAATTGCAGAAATTAGTCTACAGCACTCCTTACACATCCAGAGTTCTTAACCCATTCGCCCCACGTGGCAAGAATAGATGCCATACCCACTTTGATACATGTTTATTTTTGTATTTATTCATAGATGGCTCCACAAGTTCTTAATCACCAAATAGCCAGTTATCAAGAACTACCTATTTCACCTGTATAACCTTTTCCTTCACTTTAGGAAAGGGTTTTTTGTATCATTTCATTGTCTAAAATATTCTAATGACAATTTGATAATCATAACATCAATAACAAAAATTACAATATGGATAGCAATGGTAATAATTTTCCCGCCAATTCAACGAATGGGAAAATCAGGGTTGGTAACTAGAGACTACTGATAGACTCCTTGCCGGATGAGCACATGTGGAGCCACTTGTATGCAACAAAATTCACCAAAAATCACAGGGGACAGAACATAAATCCGTGGCAAATGGGTTAATGTAATGTGGCATGAAGTGCTAATAAAGGAGGGGGGGTACAGGGAGCTGTCTAGGGAATAAATGGAAGGTAGGAAAAGTTAATTTTGGAATTGTGGGTTCGCATGATAGCCTGGTTTTGGGACTTCATCTCTGTAGGGTGTGTTACTCTTGGGAACAAATACCAAACACATCACCAATGCTTCTCAGGACGAAACTAAATTCATTTGATTTCAAATGTTTTGATTCAGTTGATTCTGTTGGAAATGGCTAGTCTTTTCCATACCAGAATTGTACCACCCTTGCTATCAGTTAATCTGTAATCTAGTCACGTGCACAATGTGGAATTCTCGAACTCTGCTGTAATTACAGTACCAATTGTCTAATGCATGCAGCCTCCCTCTTGGGGTGCTGCTGCTTCCCAACCCCCCCTAGGAAAGCAAAGAATCCTCCATGTATTCACGGCTGGAGAGAACATCGGACAGACTCAGCATTGGGCTCTCCCATGCACATGCACAGTACTGTAAAAAAGTCACTTCCAATAAATAGTAGGACATACCTATGCAGGAGAGGAGCTATTGATATCAACATTGATATTGGAGTGGCTTGTGGGAGCATCAGAGTGGCTTTGAAATCAATAACAGATAATTTTCTTCCAATGGCTGGAGAACCACCAACTGTTTCTTAGAGTGCAAGATAAATTGCACAGTTTACCAAGCACTTCAGAGGGTGGTACTCCTTGCTCACATGATAGTTTCTGGCTAGCCTCACTATCTTCAAAATAAATGTTTAAAATATTAAACTAATTCTGAAATATAATTTCACAGCTTTTGTTTTAGCTAATGTTCATTCTTTGGCTGTTTCCTTGTGCCTTGTTTCCCCATTGGCTTTAAAATAAACTGCCAAATAATTGGCTAATCAAATCATGGTACTGGCCATGATGTCACAGGTAAGGTAAAAGGAACAGAATGCTGACAAGAAACCCCACGCATTTATTAACAATTTTATTTTTTTCAGTGTTGGTGACGATTTTGAAGAGGCAGAAGAGGATGAGAACCTCGATGACTTGCAAGAAGGAGAGGTATGTTATTTTATTTCTTCAATGAATCCACTATAATCCCTTCTATCCATCCAGTTTATCTTTTGGCCATTTCATTTGAAAAGATAACTTGTAATTTTTACTTGTGTGTGTTAGAGGATGGTTGTAAAGTGATAAACATTTTGACACAAGAAGACTGGCAAGATTGAAATACATCTTATTGTGTTCAGGATATACAAAAAAATAGCAGAATTGAATCTATGCATATATATTTTGGCAACAAAGTGTTTTTAAGTTTGTTGTTCCAGTATCTAAACTTGACCTCATATTTACCCCTCTTTATTAAAGCAGTAATTAAGATAAGTTCTGTATTACTTAGTGAATGTCTCACTTTTCAGGAGGATGAAAATCAAATGGAAATTCTTGCTGCTGGGGAAGGCAATCAGGTCCCCACACAGAAGCGAATCACAACTCCATATATGACAAAGTAATGAGTATTACTTTTTTGTTTTGTTTTACAGCTGTGTGTAAATTGAGAGAGAGAGAGAGACAGTGAATGTGATTTTGTGAATGTGTGTGTGTACAAGTGTGCACACATTGGTGCATGAGAGAGAATAAGAATTATAATGAGAGATTAGAGGTAGAATGTGATGTAAAGCCAAGAAGAGACACAAGTCATTACATTTCTTCATTTTTGTAATTACATGTTTATGGTCATTGGCAGTAAGAACACACCAGAGAAATTCACTTCATTCCGTTTAACCCATCTAGAGATTCAAGGCCTAGAAATTATTATCACCATTAATTCCAAATTGCCAACTTGAAATTGCTAGTCCTGATCTGTCTATCCAAATAAAAAAATAAATTCATTTGTGTAAATGGTAATACAAAGATTCCGAGAAGGTATGTAAAGGAAAATTAATCTCTATTGTATATTTCTGTGTTTCTTGCAGATATGAAAGAGCGAGAGTGTTAGGGACGAGAGCATTACAAATAGCCATGTGCGCTCCAGTGATGGTAGAAATAGAAGCTGAATCAGACCCGTTACAGATTGCTGCCAAGGAATTAAGAGAGAGAAAAATTCCCATCATTATTAGACGATACTTACCTGATGGTTCTTACGAAGATTGGGGAATTGATGAACTGATTATAAGTGATTTCTAAAGTAAACCTGTCTTGTCATTTACATTCAGCTGCAGAATCTTTTGTGGATAAAATATTTTTTCATATCTCTTAGAATCACTTTGGTTTTCCTTCACATTAATTACATTTTCTTCTGTATTTTTTGTTATTAGATACTCTGTACACAGATGTGAACATCACAATAAATGTTTTTTATAAAACCTGATTAAAAAAATCAGAATAAGTATGACCATTTAGTTTAATTATCCAGCACTCATGATATATCTATTGTGTTGTCAGTTTTGCATTCTTATCCTGTTAAACAAACATTTTGGGCTTGATTGAATAAGGCACAATAAAATGAGAGTTTTCTAATGTGAGGATACTTAATTACACTGGTGAGAGTTTCATTTCCCAATGAGGAAGGAAACAAGTCAGGTGGATTCATATATATTAACCCATTGCCGTCGAGGAAAATGAATAAAAAATGGGGAAAATGCTGTATTCATTTTTTATATTTTTGTGAAATGTCTCTGTACATAGATGGCTCTGCTAGTCCTGATTTCACCTTTCCTTGAAAAAACATATTTTTACTAGTGCTATAAATATAGATGGTGTTATTTTTAACAGCAAATTAGGATAACATTAAATATTTTTGTAAATTGATGAAAAGGGTGAACGGGCAAGACAAGCAGTACTTGTAATTGGCTCACTGGTGACTTGGTACAAGTGTAGCCATCTATGTGTAAAAACAATCAAACAAGTTGAATCACAGTGGACATGGCATGTACACTCCATCCCAGTCAGCAAGGGGTTAAATACTTTACAGATAACTAGGATTGTTCATATTCAGCAAGAATGGACTTATGCAAAATCCACTCAAGATGTAATGTGGCAATGTTTGCAGAGCAAATATTACCCACACCTCAGTGTTCATACATTTGACCAGACACAAGTTTTTCAGTGGTGTTGCTTTTGGTTTCAAACGGGTTAACAAACCAATATAATCGACTCCCCCAACTCCTTGCTGTTGTTGTTGTGGGG